CCCATCAAGCTTAAATGAGAAAAAGCAGACTTTGTGAAGTACGTATCTTTTAGGGAAGGTTTCATGTTGATGCATATGATTTAAAATAATTACAGTGTTGTTTGGAGACTTTTAAGTTTCAGCTTCTTCATTTTTGTGAAGGGACAGTGAAAACTACTTTACTCTTCAAATCAACAGGAAATGTTTGTTGGAAGTGAATTAATCTGTGGTGATTTGTATGTATGAATTACAGCTTTCTTTAAAATTTCGTAAGCAAATATCTGGTAGTTCTTAAAAATTACTTTTTTCAATGCTTTGATGTTTAAAGTAGCTTTTAAAACTGAGTTTGTATCTAGTTAAGATTTATGGCTACTTGTCGTTACAGTACTGGCACAGAACAGCTGGGGTGTATACTTGTGAAACTGGATCAGAGCCTCTGCTAAATGCAAGTGTGGTGTTAAAAATGAGACCTCTTGGAATTTGCTTTTGCAGATTACGTGCTATGTGTTGGATTCATCCCAAGTGTATCCCAGTATAATCTGTTTGGGTTACATCAGGGAACAAATTGACCCAGTGCCTTTGTCTGTGTGCTTTGTAAGTCTGCTCCCCTTACTGGAAGGGGAACAGCCCAGGGAATTCAAGTTGCATAAATGGCTAAATGCCGGTGCAGACTGTAGTGGCTCCTCAGCTGGCAAGAAAAGGGAATATTTGTGTTGGAAGCCAGTGTTTTAGAGCTGCTGTCCAGTTATTTAATCTCTTCCAGAAGTCAAAACATTATAAAATTATTTAATACAATTTCACATTAATGTATTGTAATAAAAAAGAAAAAACTCTCAGAAGATATTTAAATAGGTTGCATTAATATTTTACTGAAGCTGGATCAATGGGATGATTTTTCTTTATGGAAGACAATTGTGTTATGTGTCTTCAGTGGACTATTACCAAGGAAACATTGGAGAAGGAAATCCTTTAAGGAGGCAGGTCGGTCTGGGCTGAATTTTCAGACTGAATGGGTTAGTTTCCTTGGTACCAACATCCTGGAGTCTGACAAAGGCTAGGAATGGACAGGGTTTGCATCTCATCAAAACCGAATAGAAGACAAAAACAGACTCCAAGCAGCGGGTGTTTTAGTTTATATCTGAGTTTTGCTGCCACTAATCTGCAGAGGAGAAAGGGATGTTAGGGAAACCTTTTCCCCACTTCCAATTTAGACACAAAATATATTGGTGAGAACCGGAGCTTCTGCCTTAGTCTTCAGTGGAAGGAGAGGTGAGGTCTGATAGGAGAGTGCTGGGTGCAGACTTTATGGTCAGCTGCACATTAGCCCTGTGGATGGTATTCTTCCATCTCTGGTATTAATACAGATTTGGGTAGAATAAACTGCTGGAAGCTAGCTCTTTTGACAGAGCTATAGGAGAAATCTTAAGAGACACCTATCTCTGTTAGCTTTGGGATACAGAAGAGTGGAGTCCCCTCCTTGCCAGTGGCCAGGCGGTGCTGGTGACCTACTCCCCTCCAGCCCTAGGGAAGTTCAGGAGAAGAGTGATGTTTTCTTTCTTCTTAGTCTCTCTTCTCGAGCGAGCAGATGGGGGCTGGGGAGCAATGTTCCCCTTCAGCGTGATCCAGTTCATTCAGGGCATGAAACAGCGTTCCTTGCAGTGTCCTTGTGAATTTTCAGGTTGCTGGGGGACTGAGGTCAGGGCTTGGGAGATCTTGAAAAACTAAAACATGCTAAAGGTTGAGAAGTTGTTTGTAGAGCAGGGGACAATCTTGTTCTTTCTTTAACTATTTTTTGTAGTAGTTATTACCTGCTGTGTTAGCTACTTTGCCTTTACTTTCTGCTCTCCTATACCAGTCCTAGGACATGCATGTTAAGTGAAATATGGCCATACTGAAGTTGATGATAGCTACAGTCTCACTCCAACCAATCTCTGTGCTTCATTTTGTATGGGCCTCCAGACATGCTTTTGCACTATTTGGAAAAACGTTGACTATAAGAGTCAGTGTTTCACTACACTAGAGCTTTCTGCACCAGGGTTTATGTTGCATGTGCTTGCTAACCTGCAGAGAACACTTAATAAAGTGAGTTGGTATAAAAATTTACTGTCGTAAATTGATTTCAAGTTAAAGACTCTGCTTGTGTGCGTGTGTTTAGGGGAAGGATATCATTTCCTGTACATCATTATTGCTCCAGGACACAATTTTGTATTACAAAGCAGCTCTTTTCCATTTGTCCCCACTCAGGCATATGAGGGGGGCAGGCTGACTCCGACAGGGGTTAGTTAAGCTGTTCGGATGGAATTCATCTCTCCTGTCTTTAGGCATCCACAAGATACCTGCCAGATCTGAGCTAGTTGTCAGCGCTCCTTTTGTAGTCGAAAGAAAGAGGAAGAGAGGATAGTTCAACCCAGGCTGAAGTAGATGAAGCAAGAGAATTGCCTGATGAAAAGTTGCTCTCTCTCTCTATTGACTCTCCAAGGAACCTAGAAAATGAGTGTAAACCAGGCACTTCATTTGTAAACGGCTAGAGTTTGCTGCAATGAATTCATCAAGCCATTCGGGTGCAAGTCTGAGTACTTAAAGCATTACAGAATTATCTGACTACCTGTGTAACACCCATAAAGTGTAATACTGCTTCCAGTGCATGTTAAAGAAAACTCACTGTAGCTGCCTTTTGTTTTTTAATGTTGCTTTAGGTTGGGGGATTTTGTAATATAAAAATGGCCAAGTAAGTATAGTTCAAAGCAGCACCCAAGGCAGATAAAACAAGAACTAAAACCTCAGTAAAATAATTCTGATTAAATCTTATACGACAATGGAACAACTGCTAGGAATAACTTTTATTTTAAGTAGCTAGTTGTAACTCCACGTGGAAAAATTGCAAGATCATTTTGTGTATGGTAATTGTATCCATGCAGTGTATATATAATGTCGCGTGGTCTTGCAGAGAACGGTATAAGAAGATACACTCCCTTCGTTTTTTTCATCTCTTCCTTCCCCTCTAAGCTCACTGTATCTTGATGAGATGAACCTTAGAGAGACAGAAAACCTCTTCCTCTTCAAGACAATAAGGAACACTACAGCAGTAGATTGGCCCAAAGAAAACCATATGTGTGTGTGTGTGTGTGTGTGTGTGTGTGTATTTTTTTTAAACATTTAATACCTCTCACAGAATGTGTCCTAGAAACCTAGAGAGTAGGTAGGAAAGTGCAGCACAGGGGGAGTTATGCATACATACATACATGCATACGTATATGTATACATGTATGTGTGTGTATATATATACACACACACACCCGTACCTACCTACAACTTGAAGTGTTTACCTGCGTGCTGCAGTTCATAACACAGTATAAAAGCACTGCTGTGCAGAGAGGGGAGGCATCATGTTGTTTTAATGAGTGAGAACTGTGAGACTGATATAGAGAGCTTTGCTAAAAATGCTTTATTCCATTAAAAGCGGCTTCAAGAGCGAGAGATCTGAGAGAGATAATGAAAAAGGCTTTAGTTTCTTAATATTGTTTATCTTTCGAATATTATTTTTAGTGGTTTTGAGTGAAAGACTTACTGACGACATTTAACAAACAAGACATTGGACCCTGCCAGACAACCAGCAAGGCTTGGCCAGGATGCCTTCTGTCTCCAAGCAATGCTGCTCTTACTTAAGAGTTGTTTGACGCCAGACGAAAAAAAATTGGTTCTGTGCGTTTTTCCTGTTGCGTGCTGGCCTGCATTTGCTCTCTTTGCGATGGTATTTTTACGGCAGTTTGCAGCAAGAAATAGGGAGAGCTTGATGTCCACTCAAAAGAGAAACGTTCTGATCGATGGCTGTGGGTAGCTGTATGTTCTAGTGTGGATGGATTCTCGTATTTTAGCATAATTGACTGTAACCTGCTGGATAATTGCTGGATTTAGAGGGCAGGGGAAACAGCAACAGCTCTGAAGAGTTTGGGAAGCCAGGGAATGAGGCGGGAATAATCTGAAGCTATCCAAAGCCATTTAAATTTTTACAGTATTGGGACAGGCTTGAATTCAAGGCTTAACTCCATTAACTGAATTGGAGCTCCCTCTATAACAGGTGGCTATAAGGTGCTCATCTCTTGCTTCACCTCCTAGTTTGAATGAGAAGCTTGCTTTCTTTGCCTGTGTGTATCCCTTCTCTGCATTACTTCCGTATCGATCAGGCCAGAAATCACTAAGAAAACACAGAACCTTACTTTACCTCTCCTCTACTCTGTGACAGGAGCCATCAGTGCTGGGGTTCAGATACTTCTGTGAAGACATAAAGTCCTGCCCTTTGTTTGCAGATGTAGGAGCTATTCCATGTATCCGAAGGAGGAGGAGGATTCCTTCACCCATTGTCCATATGAACAGGCTTCAGGCTCGCGTTGCGTTTCTGAGCGGCTCCTTACTTCAGTTGAGGTGTGAGGCGTGTTTCACTGGGTTTGGGGATACAACCAAATTCCTTGCGGCAGTAACCAGTGCAGCTTCTGTCATGTGTCACGATATGTAAGGGAGGAAGTTGTGTATGTTATGTGGCAATGTGGCATTTCCATAAAGCCCTTTTATAGCAGCCTGTCTTCCTGAGAAGAGAAGAGCTTTTTGGCATGTGTTATTTGTCAGAACTGGAGAGGGAAAAAAGAAGATTACGTCTTAACAGTTGTTGTAACCAGCTTCTGTATAATAAATGAGCTTGTTTTACAAGGGCCAAGAGCACATTTTGACTGTAGCAGCATCTTTTCATAATGTTGAAAAGCATTCAGTAGATGGACTACCATGCTATGCTGTCTCTTGAAAATCTTAAAAGATTAAGGCACTATTGCTAGGCTTAGTTTTTTCTAAATTGGTATGGTTCTTATGATGCTTTCAGTATACTTTAAGCTTTGTAGGCGGAGATAATCTTTCAACAGGGTTAGTGTTTGGTAGTGTATTTCTACCTGTGTACTTCTACCTGTTAGTGGACTCTAAAATCCAAAAGACTGTGCTTTAAGTTGGCTAATGGACAACATTAAACATTCCTTTGTGTGTTCTTTTTGCAAAATAAGTTGTATAGGTAGTACAGCAGCACAGGACAATGGTTTACCCCAAATCTTAGAAACAATCCTAAAAGACTTCTCTTTTTTTTTTTTTTTTTTCCCGTTTTTATTATAGGTAGCTCAGTTGTCTTGGATTGAAAAGAAAGTAGCTGCTGCTCTTTTTGGGACTCCACCAACTTCAACAGTAGAAGAAGCATTGCAGAATTTCCTTAAGGTGGGTCCCAGCCAAGGATTTTCCTGCACGGCCATTTACCAGCCGCTATATGTGACTGTTCTCAGGATGTCTGCTTAACAGATTATGTTCGGTAGCTATAAATCCAGGACTCTCCTAAATACCACAGAGCTCTCTAATAAAATAATTTTTTTCTTTTCTGTTTTAAAATTAATTTGGAGACAAGTGACTGATACTTTTCTCCTCTTAATTCTGTTTTACAGAAGTCTTCAATTACTTGCCTCACTAATAGTTCTTGGTTTTAATGTGAGATAGATAATAGATGTAGTTATACATGCCACTGAAACAAATTGACCACAGGGGTAACTGATTATTTTCCCATTTTTGCAAGGGGTTTAAAACAGGCAAGGAAAACTTTGGCATTATGACACTTCCCTTTTTCTGACCTGAAGCTCTTTTCTTTGAATTTCAGTAGAAGCTTTTCTTTTTTGGGGGAGGTGGGGTAGATGCTAAGAAAAGACCTTTGCAGTGAAGGAGAAAAGAAAGCTCTGTCACATAGGTCCATGTTCTGGCCATTCTACTTGAATGGTAAGGGTCTGTGAAGGAAAAGTAGTAATAAGGTTGAAGAATACAGTTCTTAACCATCACCCAAAGTGAGAAACCATTGGTTGCTTGTTTATTTCTTTGATGGGGAAATAACTATTAATAATGCAGAAAAATTAGCGTCTTCCAACTCGCTGTATGAGTGAGTACACGTTGTTTTCTGTTTAGAATGATCCATTGTCTTTACAAAGCATTTAGAGAGAGAGAAAACTGAGGAGTTCAGAACATTTTTGTGTTCAGTAGCAACATCTCATGTGTTTGTGTGTTTGTTTTTTTTAAATGCTAAATGGGTTGTGGTACACACAGTAGGGATGATTCAGTCTGATGTTTGAGGAAGCTCAGTGCATTACTGAAAATGTTATGCTAACCACATAAGTCTCATCACACAGTTTTTATGTCTATTTTGTTTCCTGTTTTTTTATTATTTAGGCAGAAGAAATATGTCCAGGATATTCCAAGTCAAATTATGTGTATTTGGCAAAGGTAATCAACTTCTTTAAAAAATAATGATTTGTAGACTCTGGTATTCTTACAGCGGTCTGGTTAGAAATAAAATGTGATTTTTTTCTTCTCAGTGCTATAAAGATCTTGGCCAGAAAAACAGCGCTCTGAAGTACTGTGATTCTGCACTGTCAATTCTCTCAGTTACTAATGAGGTGGGTACTGAGAAAGATAGCTTGTTCTCTTGTGACTGCTGTCCTGTTTTTAGTATCCATTATTACAGTTGTCAGTCGTGGCATAATGTTTCACTTTTTCCTCTGAACACAGAACCTTCCTTTTTCCTCCGCTCTAGGCTGGCTCATTACAGTTGTCTGTATCAACAGCTGTGAAAAAATCTTTGGGAAACTGTCAGAGACTTGTTTGTGTCAAAGGCTGTCAGAGATTTGCCTTGTGAATTGAACTCTTTGTAATTCAACCCATTTCATTAAACTGTCTTAAGCACAAGCAGTTGAATGTGTCACTCTAGCTGTGCTGAAATTTTGCTTCACACCTCCTCTTTCTCAGCTGACAGTATTCTGGATTTTAGTCCGACAGTTTCTAGTTCACCTAAAAGCCTATGTTTTGTTAAGGCCTCCTGGGCACTGTGGGTTGTTAGCTATAGCAGAACTGGATGCATTGTTCAAGCTTGTTTTTGTCTTCAGCAACAGTCTAGTTAAAGAGACACAGTTCTTCCAGTTCCATCTACCAGAAGTTAGTTTACTCTTACAGATTATTAGATTATTTTTAAGGTCATTTAGAGCATTTTTGTACACAGATGTGAAATTTCTATGGATATTTGAGAGATTTTAAGTGGTTTAATTTCTCAAATGTAACCCGAGTCATGGCAAGAAGATTCACTCTTGCTGTCTAATCTCAGGTAGAAGCAAGTTCCATAATTAACAACCTGTGACTGAAAACGTCTTACCATCCTAGAGCATCACAAGTTCAAACCTGAGCTTTGTCAGTCTTAAGGGACCCCCTTTGAGCATAGCAGATGCGGTAGGGGGAGAGAGAGAAAGAGGTGATTCCAGAGAGGAATTGACCGTATCCCATTTAGTTCTTTGAAGTTAAGGAAAAAGACCATTAAATAGCTCTGTAATTTGATTGACAATAAGTGCAGTGTGTGGAGCACTAACATGTTTATGTCAAACGCTCCTGCTCAGAAGAAAGACCACTGCATGCCTCACCAGCAGCTGCTCCTGGGTGGCCTCTGTTTTCAGGCCAAGTTAGAGTATGTACCAATCCTAAATTAGGCAATCATTGCTTAACTGTAGTGTTTCTTTAAAAATCTATTGATATAGATATGATTTAGTAATCTTTTTACTCTGCTTTATTCTTTGCTTACAGCTGAAATGTACCTTCAGTTTGCCTATTTTTACAGAACATAGCAAAGACTGATATCAATTAGCAGTAAATTCATGCCATATTTCTTTGCAAAAAAACAGTAGGACCAGTGGTTTAAGGGCGAGGGTATGCAACTAAAACTGCTTGAGCTCAGCCAGTTTTGTGTATGTCTGGACCAATTATGCTGATGAATTTGGTGCTCTTCCTGTTACAGGCCAGGTAATATTGCAATGAACTCTGAAGTCAAAAAGTAAGACATGTAATTTCAAATGCTACCCAATAAAACTACAAACTCTTATATCACAGAAACTTCTGGTGGGCAGAAAACTGCTTGTGTATAGTAAGCTGGAAGTCGTTCAACATATGCGTAAAGACTCCTCAAAAAATACAGCGATAGCATAGGCTGGGATCCATCTCTGCTAAGATTAGCTGGCCAAAAGTTTGGTGACCAGTCAAAGGTAGTTGTTGAGGCTCCGCTTGGTGGAGAGAGATTAGATACCTCCAGGTGCCTCATCCTGCCTCTCTCTGTCCACAGATGGTAGACAGAGATGAGATGTGAACACCTTAGATATTTAACTTTCAAGCTGCTAAGTTAATGGGAGACAAATCCTGCCTCCAAATTTCAGCGTCATCAGTCTAAACATGAGCTGGAGCCCACCTGGGAGTATTTCGTTCCTGGAAAAAGGAAAGCCCCATCCAATTTCTGAAGTGCCGACAGACCTGAAAGAGCGGGGGGTCGCTGTGGTAAGGGAAGGAATTCAGTAACAATCTGAGGGGTGTGTATGTGTATTGTGGCAAACAGAGTGGTGACGAGAATAAGAATTATGGTGGTATTTGAACTGACAAAGAGCAGCAAGTAGGTCCCAAAAGTCTATTGTGCATCTGAAGAGAACAAGATGATTTATCCTCTTCTGCTATGGCTAATTTTATAGTTATCACAGGTTCATCTGACTTGGCTTGTTTACGTGTAACATGTTGTGAGATAAATTTAGAAAAAGCTCCAGGAAAACATGGTGTTGGGGCAACAGTGTGTAATTAAAAAAAAAAAAATAGTAGTCAGCATGAGGTAAAGCAGGCACATTCTCAAAGGAATTAGTTTATGGATATCTGGAACATGACCTCTGCTGATGCTAACTGTTAATTCCAGTCCCACTGCCCGAATTAGAATATTGTGTATTGTTCTGATTATTGTGTTAGAGAAAGACCGTTACAGGTTTTTGGGAAGACGTTGGAACTGCAGTTGTTCAGAGTTTGGAGTTGAATGTAGGAATAACTTTTAGTTGGGTTAATTTAAGGGAGGGAAGAGGCTGTAATAAGATGGAAGAGGCTTTGTGGAGACAATAAAAACAGATACTGGTGAAGTACCTGAATTGACTACAGTCCTATAGAAGATGGAGTTCATGGATTGAAATGGAAAATGCAGTTCAACAGCAGTTTGAGAATCTCAAGGTTGTCAGCAGCGTAGTATGTTGTCACAGTCGTGCTAGAAATCTGAGAGTAGTCACCGTTTCTCATGTGATTTTTAAAACCTCTCTTTCTTCAGGCAGGGGAATTCCTTTATTGTTTTTAAATGCTGGCTTCCACTGAGAAACGTATATATGTATGAAGGCATAAAATCAGCAGTAGACTGAAAGACAAAGTCACTGGAAAGGTGCCATGTTGAGAAAATGTATTGTGTTTCCTGAAACAAATCACCCTGTAGCACAAATATGAAAAATAATAGTAGATAATGGTTTAATTTTTTAGTGTTTCTGAGCCTCCAGTTTCCATTGACTTTGGTGGGAACCAGAGGTACTTGGCATCAGTAAAATAACCCATAGCTCATTTTAATCCTCAGGCCAAATTCTCAGCTGGTCTAAGTCAAGATACTTCTCTGACACTTGTCTAGGATTCATTTCATGTAACATTTCAAATAAAGTGAGATGATTTTCATCTTGAATGTTGTATCACATCCAATTACCCCTTTGTGTGTCTGCTCTACCACTTATAGAATATGTTTTCAGTTCACAGCTTCCAAACAAAGTTAATTCTTATTAAGGAAAAAAATCTGATGGCGAGTTTCAACCCAGTGATAAACCTAAAACAGAATACCGAAGAAATTAGCAAGAGAGAGGTAATTTATTAAGAAAGATTCCCGTAAGTCTTAGTATGGGTTTTTTGAAATAGCCAGTTTGGCACCTTTTTAACTAAGCAGTATGCACATATTTTTTTATTTTAAGAGTGAATACAGGCCTTTTGATGCAAATTATATCTGGAGAATGAAATTGATGTTATAGTACTATATTAGAGGCCTTTCTCTTTATCCTCTCTACGCTAAACAGAAACCTCTGATGAATCATATAGTCTTTGCTTGGCCATAAATATTCTCATATTGTAGAGTGGTGCTAGAGGTTCACGGGACATTAAATTGTCCCACTTTTCTCTGGTTGCTGTCCAGGTGGATAACCTCAGGGTCCTGGGAAACATTCACCCCTTCAAAAAAAGAGATCCTAACGTTCAGGGCTGCATGTGAGTTATTGTCAAGTGCATAATAGCTGCTCTGTTTATCTAATAGTCATTGCAATACGCTTTCTGAGACTCTTTACTCATTACTTTGTAATGCACTCAGAGGCTTGGTGAGTGTGACTACATAAAGGGCTGTGGAAACCAGATGTGGTGGACTACTGTGATGGAAAAAAATGACTTTTTTGAACTTGGGGAGAAAAATATAGTTTAAATTTGAAAATATGAGCATTGATCTTGCATACAACCTCAAGCTTCTTGTCTCTGTGACATTGCTGGAAAATGAATCTAAAAAGCAGCACTTCTTTTACAAAACGTGTAGTCTTCGAAGAGCTGAAGTCAGTAAAGCAGGAATAAAGCAAAGCAAACTTATTTGCACTGAAAGTTACAGAAGAGGTTTATTTAAAATGTGGATAAAAACCTCACTGAGGCTGAGAATATATTTTACAAAATTATTAGTGGTAAAAAAAAAAAAAATTCTTGCCTTAACAAAACACTCCCCCCTCCCCAGTAATTAAAAATGAAGGCAATTCTGAGTTAAAAGTAATGAGAGAGCAATATTACAGATATTACAGGAATTGACAACTTTGCCTTTTACTTCTTACGGCCATAGCGTGGCGGGAAGCATAGGCTTGGTAAGGACTCTGCCATTAACCTCAGTGACACTTGAAAGGCTGGAAAAACCCATGAGAACTTGGAGGTATATGTAATGTTAGACAGAAGTAGTGGCAGGAGGTTTGAACAATGAGGAGAAATCATGCCCATAAGATTTTCTTATATTTTCTTATCTCACCATAACTGACATTCCAAGTCACTAATTTACTTTTTGAATATTGTCTGTGAGGAAAAGGGTGGGAGTTGCAAAGGGATGGCAGAGGGGGCAGAGTGTAAAACTCAGCATCTGTCAGTTGCTTTTATCAAAACAGACCATTTAGATGTCTTTAATTTTCCTAAGGAGATCTTCTGAGATATGTCTTCTCCAAGCTAAAGGCTGATCCTGTGTAACAGATCTTGCTGTGATATTTCCCGTAGATCTTAGTTGAAGCTAATGTGATAATCTGTGGTTTTAAATAAGATTTTGAGAAGAGGAAAAGTAATGTAATTTTGTTTTTAAAGTGAAGAGTACAAATTATGACTTGTTTGTGAAGAAACTGCTCATCAAAGCTATCTGAATAATTTGGGCTAACCTTATACAAAAATGTTTTTGCTTTCCCATCAAATAGAACGTTTTCCTTTCTCTGCATCTTTCCTTTTTTCCCCTATTCAAAAATGTATCAATTACAGATGCTACTCAAAACAAAATGTTACTGTTTTCAGAGGATATTCTTTC